GGGGGGGGACACCCCACGGGCTTACAGGAAGGGGACGGGGCGGTGGGTGACGGTCCGGCGTTTCTCGCAGCCCCGCTCGCCTTCACCATGCTGCAACGCACCCGCGTCTCCAAAGGCAGCTCCATCTTCTGGGGGAACGCCAGCCTGGATGGGCGGCTCAGCCATCTCCTGGAGGGGCTTAATGTCACCCAGGTGCTGCCGCTGGAGCCCCCGGACGTGTGGGCCAGGCGGCAGCAGGACGTGACCTCCTACCTGATCCACTTTGGCCAGCTGGTGAAGCTCTTCAACAAGGAGAGGCCCATGAACTGTGAGTGGTACCCCGGGGAGGGGGGGGGGCACAGGGACGGGTCCTGCTGGGGAAGGGACCCCCCCCCCTGCACTGCCTGGGGACAGGGACGGCTCCTTGGGGACAGCTGGGCAAAGGGACGGGGGACACACGGCCATGTGCAAAACCTCCTTCTGGGCAAAAGCAGCCCTTCTGCGGAGCCGGGAATTTCTTAACCCGGAGCGCAGCCTGGGAACAGGGTGATGCTCAACCTCCTGCTGCCCCTCGGGAAAAGGGCCGGGGGCTGCGGCCCGGGGGGGATGGTGAGGTGTAGGAACCCTGCCTGCACCCTGCCTGCATCCCACCTGCATCCCACCTACATCCCACTTGCATCCTGCCTGCACCCTGCCCGTACCCTGCCTGCATCCCGCAGCCTGTGCGGGAGGCATGGGATGCTGACGGCGATGGTTTTGGGTTCCTGCCTGCATCGCCCTGCTAAGCCCCCGTTCCCCCCGATGTTCCCGCACAGGGTGTGTTCTACCTTCATTTTCTTGGTTACCCCCAAACCAGTTTTGCCCCAGCTCTGCATTTCTTTACCTGGGCCCTCGGGGAGCACTTTTTCACCTCGGGGCCTCCAGTGTGAGCCCCGTGCCTCCTCTCGCCCTGCATCCTCACACCTCCCCATGCCGCATCCTTCCGTGAGAGTGATGAATCTCTCGTTCTGTGCCGAAAAACCTCCCGTCTGTAAACCTGAAGCTGTGCTGTACGCAGGTAAGGAAGGGAAAAACCAAGCACGGCCTCCTGTCTGTTGGGAAAGTGGATGCTGCTGCTAAACCCAGTGAAAGCGAAGCTGTGGGTGGGTCGGGCGGCACGAGGCTGAGGCCTCGCAAACTCAGTGCATGGCTCGGTGCCAGCAACAGCAAGGGGCGGCCAAGGACAGGAGCGTGCTGACCCTCCCTCTGTCCCCGCAGACACCCAGAGCCTGAGCTGCCACCTGGGCTGCCAGCTCTTCCCCAACGGAACGGCCCACAGCTTCTACGAGGTGACCCTCAACGGGACGGCCTTCCTCAGCTTCCATGTCCCCAATGCCACCTGGGAGCGGCGCTGGCCCGGCGGAGACGCGGTGGCCGCCTTCGCCCAGAGGGAGCTCATGAAGTACCCCAAGACCACCCGGGACCTCCAGCATTTCCTCAACACCACCTGCGTCGGCATCCTGCGGGCTCAGAGCGCCGCGACGGGTCCGTGGTGGGACTGGGAGGGGGAGGACACATGTGGTGGCACGGTGAGGGTGACCCCAGTCATCACCTCCATCCCCTCTCGCCTCTTGCAGGAAAACAGAGCAGCCGGTCGCACGCTCCGCTGGTGCTGGGCCTGATCCTGGGGACCTTCGCCTTGCTGGGCATGGCCGTGGGGATCTTCTTGTGCACGGGAGGCAGCTGCTGGCGGAGACAGCAGCTGTCCCCGCGTCACCCCGTGGAGGCAGGGGATGGACCCTCCACCACCCCGTGGAGGCGAGGACGGAGCCCGTGCCCCTGCAAGGGATGTTATCTCCCCAGCGCCGCAGGCTTTGCTCCCAAAGGACACCGGTGGCTTTCCCTGCCTGGTCCAAGCTGGGGTGACACCTCCCCGCCAAGAGCGGCACCCTGCCCCGGGGGACGGTCCCCACGCCGGGCTGGCACGGTGCACTGAGACTTAACGCTTGGCACAGCTGGAAAAAATGGGGAAAAGGGGCGGTATGTGCGTGGTAGGGGGGAAAGCGGCACGAGAAAGGGTTAATATGACGGCACTGAAACGTTCCGTTCCGTTATCCCAGTTCCAGTGGGGAGAAACTCCCGGGAGGGAGGATGTCACCCAATAAACCCACCCGTCAGCTCTCCCACCCCGCTTGTATTTGTCACATCCCCGTCTTCGCACGAGGCACCGAGGCTGAGCGCAGACTGCTGTGACGGGACAGTTTTTCTGAGCAGACCGACGCGTTCGCCTCTCTCCTGTAAGGATGCGCATCCCGGAGGGATGCGGGAGCTCAGGCAACGCCGGGCGAGGGGCAGGGCAGGCGCGGGGCCATGCGCTGGGGACCCCAAGGCGAGAAACCCCCTCCGTGAGGACTACAAAAGGGAACGCGGAGCTGCATCACTATAGCGCTCTACAGCTTTCACCGCTTTATTTTCCTTTTCTGCAACCTCGAGCTGAGCTAAAACCTGCCCTTTGACCGTTTAGACTTCGGTTATATTAATAATAAAGTCTTGGCCGCATTTCCCTTTCGCCCGTAGCAAGATTTTGAGCACAACTTGTCCTCGTCTCCACTGGCCCCAGGGCAGAAAGGGCAGGGGATGAGCCAGGAGCTGGCGGTGGCCACCAAAAAATGGGACAGCGCAGGAGGCAGGAGCTTTCCTGGATTAACTTTCACCTCGTTCCTTCCTAAACACCCTTCCCTGCGGCTCAGAGGAGGGGAAGATGGGAAAAGAGACGCAGGACAGAAAGGGGATGGGAAGATGACATAGCGGTTGTCCATAAGGAGGGAACAGAGGAGGAGGTCTCCAAAGACCACATCTCGTCACTCTGGCCACCCGCCACCCCCCGCCCCAGCAGCCCCCCGGGGCCGGGGCGCTCCCCACCCTTCAGCGGGCTCCTTTGCGAAAGGGAAATGGCAGCCAAGAGCCCGGAGGGTCCAAAAACCCGCTGCTGCTGCTAAAGAAGCGCCCTCGGTGGGGAAGCTCTGCTGCGGGCCAAGCGCTGCCTGTCCCCGCCCCGGGAATCGGGGGACACGAGGCTGACGCTGAAGGACGAAGGCAGTGGGGTTTGGGATAAAAACGCTTGGAGGCAACTTCCAGAGAGGAGAAACCGCTGCGTT